ATTTCCTTCATTTATTCCCATTGTCTCATTGCCTTTGTTGCACATCCCCTTTCTGTCCACTACTCAAGCACCTAGATTTAGGCAGCGCGGATGCCAGCGACGGACTATGAACATGGCAGACGGGCAGACTGGCCATACGGCCGGAGGCAGACTCGGCACGAGAGTACTGCTGGGCACACGGCGGATAGATTGGCTACATGGCCGGTGACTGACTACGCACACGGCCGATGGGTGGACTGGACACAGTGTACGTTGGTCCTCTGCCAGTACATCCCACGTGATCACATGTCTGGCCGGCATACGACGACACCAAAACGGCGAAGAGCTCCGTGTAGGCGAGCCAGACTGATCCTTGTGGTCGTCCTCTCCGTGTCGTTCTCCCTCCTCACATCAGCGTCATCGCACCTGATCTGCCGCAGCAACAACAAAATACAAATTGCCGATCGATCGATCGGTCAATCCGTGGCCCATGAATCGGCCAACTTGGAACGAGCATACCTGGCGTCGAGTGGAGGAGCTGCGCCCCGCTTGCTTCTAGTGGTGGTGGTGCACCGCCTTCTTGGAGATGCCGCCGCTGGGCTTGCTTGACAACCCATAGGTACGGGCCTTCTGCTGTCGGAAGGACTTGATGTAAACGCTCATCGTGTCTCTCTCTTCAGCGAAGAGGATGCAGCCGTCGTGAGCTCGCCGTCTTGCACTTCAAGAAGGGGCTGAGTGCCTCATCGCGTCGCTGCCGGCGGTAGCCTACCCGAGGCGACAGTACTCCATAGTTCCGCTTCCGCATGGTGACGACGCGGGTCAGACATGAGAAGTCCCAGCGGCCTGGGCAGGCACAGCAATAGTTCCCATGGAGACGACACAGGACAGAGAAGGTGGATCACCGGCTGCCTGGGGCGGCATGAGGAAGATGCTGCAAGCGCCAGGTCGAGTTACTGTGCCGACAGCGTAGCCGCACACGCATCCCCCGCTCCATCAGCTCCACCTTCATCTCTTCATCTGCTCCACGCCATTGTTGACGTCGTTAGCGGCTGGGTTGATCCGTCGATACCACTGGACTCGCGCCCGAGCACCTCGGTGCACATCTCCATGTTCCCTTTCACACCGTGCTGGTACACTGGATTCTTCTTGGCATCGAGCCATAGAACGGCGAACATAGAAGCTAGGTGCCAGCGACAGGGAGTCACGCCAGTGAGTCGAGCTCTCTTGGATACAAAGCATGTAGATGAGGAGGAAGAGCAGGAGCAGGTTGGCAGCACTCAGCGGCTCGCAGCTCTGCGGCTGCCTGGCGAAGCATGCCAACGAGTGAAGCGAGGCTTCGAGCATGCCATGAGCTGGGGCCCTACATGAGCGTAACCTTCTCGATCGCAGACTTCGGGTGCGTTCGAAGTGCAGGAAAAGTTATAGGAATCGGATCCTACAGGATTTTCTGCACTTGGTGCGTTCGGGTTGAAGGAAAGTTCTACAGCAAAATGGAGGAAAGGTTTTTATTCCTGCAGTTCCGTACAGGTTTCACGGGAAAAAGAAAATCTACTCTGAGCTCTTGTTTTCGTGGAAGCTCGAGGCAAAGGTGTTGGCTGGGTGAATAAAAAAAATCGATGCATGACTATCAAGGACAATAAAATATTTATAGCGTACTAATACTACTACTATTCCATTCCATTGCTTTTCAGACCTGTGGTTTGCACTGTACACCTACATTCACTTCCTGTAGTTTTTCCCATTACTTTGCTTTGCTTTCCTCCAGTCCGAACACAGCCTTCGTGTGCGCTCCCTTTTACGTCGTATCTGATGGCTTTGTGGAGAAGAGATGTGGGAAGAGGATGCACACAACGCGGGAGGTCTTTTATACGACCATGGGGCGGTGGATCGGTGGCAACACGAGGCTTCGAGAGAGAAGAAGCGAATCGAGGAAGAGATAGGATCGAACGAAATTGTTGGAAACCGGGCCACCTCAGGGGTGCCGGCGGCCGCGTGCGTATCACACGGGCTAGCCCCTTCCGGTTCCACACTTTACGTTAAGTGGGTACTTATTCCTTAACCCTTTACCTCTATATAAAGAGACGAGGAGCAATCATTGTAACGATTGATCATTGATTAATAAAGATAGTCTTCTTCATACTTTCTTGTGTTCATCTACTTTTGCGTTTTCGACTACTTCGTCTACGACGCTCGCCCTCGCTCCACAACCTTGGACCGGACTCGCCGGCGGAGTTGCGGAACATAAATATTTGAAAACCTGCATCCACATCCAACAGCCGGACAGATGCACGCGCACGGAGAAGAAAATATCAAGCGGCACGCCACCGAAACCAAACAAACAAAAGCACGTAGTCAAATTGACATGGCGCCGTGCAGCGCACATGCAGCCAATGGCCCACAATTCCAGTTATCTCAGCGCCCACGCATGCACACAACCGTACACGATCAGGTCAACGCGACGGGGCGGCCCACAGGTAGCACAAATAGTTAACCGCACCAAACTGCACCCACGAATTCAGCAAGCACGCACAAAATTTTGACAGTGAGCCTAGAGCCACCAGGCGATTTTTACCCCACAGCGTACCAAAAAAATACACATGCCATGTTCAAACTTACCCATAGGTCATTTTCATACAAATGGGTAAAACGCCCCCGGAAATAGAGGCTTGGGTATTCGGAGGGAAATCAAAAGATCAATTAGTTTGGAGGCGCAGACTGAAACCAGGATCAATGGATTTGGACTAAACCTGGTTTTGTGAAGAAGCTTCCCAGAGACCCAGACCACTTTTGGGAAGCTTCCGAAGCTTCCAAACCTGATTTTTTTTCTTGGTTTTCTAGACTGTTTTTTCTTGTTTTATTTCTATTTTCTTTCCTTTTCATTTTTCTTTTCGTTTTTTCCTTCTTCCTTTTTATTTTTTCTATTCTATTTTTTATATGTGCAAAGTTTTTTCAAATTTGTGATTTTTTCTTCATATAAATAAGCATTTTTCAAAACACATAATTGTTTTTCTAATTAGTAATTTTTTAAATCGACAACCTTTTTTAACATTCTTGATTTTTTTTCAAAATAAGTGATCTTTTTCTAAATTCATGATTTTTATTTAAAATGTACAAACTTTTTCATATCCATGGACTGTTTTTTCCAATCTGTGATATTGTTTTCCAATTTTTTTGTTTTTTTCAAATTCATGAAGTTTTTTAAGAATTCATGAACTTTTGTTAGAAAATCCGTGAACATTTTTTTCCAAATTGATGAACTTTTTCTAAATCGGCAAATTTTTAAAAATGGATGAACTTTTTTTCAAAATCCCAAACTTTGTTTGAATTTGGTGAACTTTTTTTTTGTCAGCATTATTCTTTTTTATCACTTTTTCTTGAAAGTCGAGAGTCAACACTCCCTAAACCAGGGACCGCCTCCTTTTATTGGGCCAATCCTTGAGGCATGAGGGGTGGAGCGTGGGCGCCAGCTACTCTTCCCAGCGCTTAAGGCGCTAGGGAGGAGCTCTCGTGCAGCTGACAGGAAAGATCCCCTAGCACGAACACCCTCCCCCAGAGCTCTACTGGCCCTTTTAAACGGGCCTCACCTCTCCCCAACGGTCATCATTACACCACAACCAAAAAGGACACTGAAAAGCCCCAAGGTTTGTGACTCCTAAAAAAACTTGAAACTGGAATTTGTACCAAAAGCTTACATAATTTTGAATACACAATTTTTTCCATAAACTACCATGTATAATAAGTTGCCATCATGCTAGAAATGGATCAGAACTTTAAAAACTTAGCAATTATATGCTTTAAAGCTGTGTCGGTACGAATAGATCAAAACAATTATGAAACTACAAAAAAAGTGCCAAAAATTTAAATGCATAGAAGAACATTTGGCAAAATTATGCTGAACTAAAAGTTTGTCATTATTTCAAAAAAATGTTTGCCAAATTACCATGTTGTATCATAAAATTTGTCATGTTCCAAAAAATAGTTTACAGAAAAAGAATGATGGTTAATAACAAGATTCCTTGGTGGTGTAAAAACATGAAGGTGTGAAAACAAGAAAGTTTGCCATGATTAAAGTAATGAAGTTGCCATGGTCCAAACAAAAGCTTTACCATGGTTATAGTTATCATTTTTAGCTAGATGTAACTTGCCTGGAAATAGAATTTGGGTCGGTTGATATTTTTGACTGTTGGTGATGCTTCATGATTTGTGCTCCCTTTTTTTCTACTCTGTGATGTGTCTTGTTTTGGACTGACCTCTCTATTTTGGGGCTATCAATTCCTTAACAGGTTGGCCCATTAGCTTGTCCAACCCAAACAAGCTCTATGTCGCCCATCTGAACACCCAGCCCTTCCGCCTCTACCTTTGTTTTTTTCTGTTTTCGTTTTGATGTGTTTTCGATTTAGAATTTTATTCTTCTTTATTAGTTTTTTTTTCAAACAATCTGATTATTTTTGTGCCGACGAGCAACGTGCGCAAGAGTGTAATCGTGTGGCGAAGCGAGTGTAACTCAAATGATTAGATTCCTTATGGTGGAACCAGTCCACTAGGGTTCAAGTCCTAAACTTGACACTAGTAGTCGCATTTTCCTAGATTTATTCTAGTCTTTTTGTCAATGTTTCTTCGATGGGAGAAGAAATTTTCATCGACTATGAGGCGCCCCTGGTGACTTCGTGGATAACAAGCATCACCAATTCACCATCATCAAACGTGGGCACAGGCATCCCAGTCCCAATGACATACACACGATCTGAGGGCAACAAAAGAAGGAAGAGTAACTGAACCATAGCGCAAAAAAAAAAAAAATCACACCTGAACCATAACGCCAAAAAAAAAAACCATATCGCAGCTCGCACAGTCACATCACGTTGAGACGGCGAGTACGTGGTGCCGTGATGGCACGTACGACCAGAGGACAAGCTGCCATGGCGACGCCGTCCCTAGCTCCCTCGCACCCACGCTACGTAGGGCACAGAACGAACGTCGTCGTCCACGGAGACCAAGAGTACGTCGTCGGTCCTCGAAATTTACTGGCTCGACTTGGCGAAGCGGCCGTTGGTCCTCACCCTGCCGTCGGCGCGGGCCTTGCGCGACTCGTACCGGATCTGCTTCCCGAACCTGCAGCAAATCAGATGCTGCAGTCAGCACGAGCTAACCAAAAATCTGTGATGTGTGGCGGGGCATTTCTCTGATACATCTCACGTACATCCTGTTCTTCCTCTTCTCCTTGTAGCGCGAGATCACCTTGCCGCGGTCGGGGTAGACCACGTCGTAGCCGCCGACGTTCTTGGTCCCCGGAGCTGCTTGCACCGGCGCCGCCGCAACGGGTGCCGCTGCCGGCGACAGGTGATCGTGGCCGCCGTTGGCCATGTCGTCGACGCTGCTGCTGCCGCTGCGGCTGAGGCCGGGGCAGACCTCCGACACCTCCACGAGCGACGACAGGCTCGGCTCCGCCGACGAGCTCGCCGAGACTTGCTCGGGAAGTTCGTTGCAACTCGTCGCGATCCACGCCTCCTGGTTCTGCTGTGTGACAAGACCAGAATGAATCATCATATATTCACATGGCTGGCAGGCTGGCAGCTCGATCGAATGTTCCTGGAAAACATCTACTGTTGCTGACTGAAACATGCAATGCATGGTACTGAAACATGAACTAGGTGCCTCGTACGTTTGGCTTTGTACCGAAAGGGATTTCGATTGGTGGTGCCGAAGAAATATCAAGATCCTATTAATGGCACTATCAAATACTATATATCAACAGATATCAATGTCATAATGATGGCTGTGAGCCTGTGACTAGTACTACTACAGGAGTATATATACTAGGCGGTTGCAACCGGAAAAATCACCGTGTCATTGTCGATCTGATGCCTTTTATGTGATGGTGTACAAGTTGTGAACGTTTTCCTTCACTAGATGGATGGCTACGGTCCGCAACTTGGACAGAAATTGGAGATGTTAGGTTGGGATTACTAGTCTAATCATGCCTTGCCATCCCATATTCATATGAGTTAGAACTAACAATGCTGGTAATTTTTCTGGATGCATCGCTCCCATGAGGGAGGGCCGATGACGGCGGCTTGCCTCCGTCTTGTTCCAGTGCTTGTAGTCGTTGTTAGGTGGTCTATGAACCTGAATGTAATTTTTATTTTCTGTGTTTTTTGTATTACCTTGACATGTGATGAATAGACTGAAAGTTTTTCCTGCAAAAAGGAAAAGAAAAGGAAATGGCTTGTGAGTTCTCGATGGATCGGTCTGGTTCACAAATTCAGAGTTCAGTCTATGGTTGCACTTTTTTGGGGTTAATTCATATAATTTTGCAGGGACAAGGCAACTTTGTAAAACTGCATATGTTCTTACTGCATTATGTAAATCTGATGGTATGTATCAACAAACTACGCAAATATAGCTAGTCAGGAAGGGAGATCAGCGTAAAAATTCGATTCAAAGTTCCAAACCTGAGAAGGAGGTACATGCAGGATTGCTGCCGCGCAGATGGCCTCGGCTCCAAGAGCCCCAATATCACCGTGCCCAATAGCAGCGTAATCTGAAGATCCCCATGGCGGAGGCAGCTGATCAACGCCGGCCGGCTCTGTCGCCGCCTCCTCCGACTTGGCGAGCTCCCCGAGCTGCCGGAGAACCTCGCCGTCCAGCTCCCCGCAGGGCAGGCTCCGGTTCTTGCACACATCATACGTAAAAAAACATCAGAGAACGAACTTTCTTTTCCTTTTCGTTTTGCCGGACGGTGAACAGTAGCAGCATGCTACGGCGCCAGCAAGTCAGCAACCAACCTTGGGGGAGGACGACGAGGTGAGGAAGGGCTGGAGGCCATGGCAGGCGGTGGTCGGCACGATGACGTCGTCGAAGCTGAGCACCTGGGGCTGCTCCCAGACAGGCCACCACGCTTCAGCCGCTTTGTCGCCGACAACGACGCCGAGGATCGCCGCGAGCTCGCCCACCGAGGGGCACCCGGTGTAGCCCTCCACCGCGCCACGGTCGTGCAGCAGCGGTGGCTGCACAACCTCCCCTTCCCTGTGCTGCTGCTCCTCGAAGTCGCAGTTGGAGCAGAGGAACCGAGCGGCGCCGCGGCGGACGGTGGCCGCGGCACCGCGGCAGACGGCGCAGAGCGGGGCGCGGGCGTGGCGGCAGGAGACCGTGTTGGCGCCGTGGACGTGGCGGTCGCACGGCAGGCACAGCCCCGCGGCGTCCGCCCGGCAGTACACCACCGCCGGAGACCGGTCGCAGAAGTAACACTCCCCCGTGGGCACCGCCGCGTCGGCAACAGCCCCGGGCACCGCGCCGGAGCCGGTCATGGCTCTCTCCGCCCCTCCTCCTTCGACCTTCTTCTGCTTCTTCTTCTTGGCGCGGACGCACCGTCTTCTTGGTAAGTACTACTAGTAGTAGGATGCGCTATGCAGCGGGCGCAGAAGAGACAAGCAACTAAGCAAGGGGGCGGTGGCACCGTCGGTACGGGTAGGGGAGAGGTGGGAGCACGTCGCCATGAATGACCCAGGACGAGGAGGAGGAGGACAAGTGCGACGAGCGGGGAATTGATGGGCTCGAAAGCGAGACGAGGGAGGCGGAGGACAAGTTCCTACTTGCTCCCAAGACCCTCGCGCGATTCGATCCCTCGCCATGTGTGGTAAAGCCAAGTGGGCGGGCTAGTCGACAGCGGAGAGGACGCTTGGCTCACTCACTCTTCACATGCACACTGGCTGACCCATGGGATCATTGCCCGCCAAAATTTTCTGGCGTTTCGTTGTGCTGTGATCACAAGGATGACGGGCAGCTTGATTACGCCGTGTAATCACACGCGCCACACACGTGAAGCAAGCACATCTCCTAATCGCCACCGGTCACTGCTCGGTCGTCTGGCTTCTCCCCAATGCGAGTCGTCCCACTTGGCATTTGGAAAAGGGTCTCAATCAACTGCCATAATACTCCCTCTGTAAAGAAATATAAGAGCGCATAGATCACTACTTTAGTAATTTAAACACTCTTATATTTATTTACGGAGGAAGTACATAAGAAAGAAAAGAAAAGGAATAACTAAAAAGAACATTTTGCATGGATCTCCATGCAACTAGAGCATGGACCGAGACATAACCAAGTATCAGTCGACTGAGATTTAGCAACACTGTTTTGAAAAACGAAGACGGGGAGATGCGGATAGTAATGCAAACAGTCTACCTTTGGACGTTGGTTGCACCGGCACGTACAAGTGCCAGAAGAGGACACGCCAGCAGGCACCTCCTCCTTCTCCGAGCTTGCCCTGCCTCGTTTCGGATCATGGTCCAAATCAGGGACGTGGTGTTGTTGTCGTCGCTCGGAGCAAGTGCTTCTCAAAGACAATGAATGTGGTTTCAAATAAATGGAATTGAAGGGCATGCTCTCTTTTCGGAAAAGAAAGAAAAGGTGATGTTGGTGTTATGTTGTGCTATCTGGAGCAACACAATGCCAGGACCCTTTTTTTTGCTAATATAGTGTCAGCACCTGCTGACAGGAAACTCAGCTTGGAGCATGTTCGCTGCATTCATCAAGATGATCGTTGGCAACAGAACATCCGCCCTCTTTTCTGAGGACCAGTGGCTCGCTGTAAATCGCGCACCAAGAGGGACACTCATGGACATCTTCTAGACCACTAACATTAGGGTGACCCTCGGACTGCTAGCCCTGTGGTGTACATCTGGTTTTGGGTGAGGGTGCATCGGGTGTAGCTCATCATAGTGTCAGTCGTGTTGGTTGGGCATTGGACCCTTGGTCTCACTGCTTCGGCAAATTTTGGTACATCACCCTTTTCCTGGGGCGTTGTTTCAAGATCTTCGCTCTTGGGCATCTTCAAGTGTGAAGTTCTTAGTTTGGCTTGCTTCCCAGTGTAGGACTGCAGAGTGTCTCGCTACAAGAGGCATGCAACTAAGTGTGCATCTGTGTTGCGGCCAATCGGAGGATACCATGGCCCACCTCCTCACTACTCGCTCTTCTCGTGTGCCCCGTGGCATGGCGTGAGTTCATATCTTGGGTTCGATCCACCATTGCGCCTCTAGTTGCGAGTGAGGACTTGGTAGATTGTTGTTCGCGGACCACCCCTTTCACCCTGGCCACGATGCACAAGGGGGCACCTCCTAGGCGATTATGCTCGTGACTTTGCTGGATTTGAAAGCATGGCAATGTTGTCTCTTCGACAACATGCGACCTGGCATCGATGTTTTGATCGACACAATCAAGTTTGAGGAACGACTGCAGGCGAGAGAATGGCGATGGGTCTTGCCTCGATCCTCCCAGTGGTTTTCGGTGCGAAGATGCGCAATGTTGTACTACCTCCGTTTTATTTACTGTGCATATATGTTTGTCTAAAGTCAAACATTATAAACATTTATCAACTTTGTAGAGAGTAAATTAATATGTACACCACCAAATCAATACCATTAGATTCATCGTTGACTATACTTTCACATCATAGATATTTGTTATTGTAAATGTTTATATTGACTTTAGCCAAAGCCAATATGCAAGGGAGTACTATCCTTCATCTTACGTATCAATGCCATGCAAACCTTTATGTTTTCTCGGAAAAGTAAAAGATCACAATGATCACAAGTTTTTTTTCATACGATCCAGAAAATGGACCGGGTTCCACTATCATAATGATAATGGAAGAAAACCCCAAAAAATATCCTTGCGCAACGACAACGTAAACGTGGTTTCAGCTGCCGCGTGTACCGCTAACAGGAAAAGAGGAAAAGTCTAGTGCTAAAAGCTTGGCCAAACTGGCCAAACTGAAGCAATGTTAAATGGGGGAAAGACCACATCCCAATCAGCCAAAAACACACACTACCACATGTTTTCAGAAAGCCCGTCAGATTGTTCATAAAGTGATATCGTTTTCAAACTTCATTTTTCTTTTGCGACTGCGACGACGCCGGAGTGTCAGACACGCGACGAATGCGCTAGCTACGTCGCACCGGCGCTCATCCACGGGAGCACGCCTCGTGTGGTTGATCACACATGCTACGGACGACGTAGGCAGTCGGTGCGTTTTGTATGGGTTAGCGAAATCCTCCGTCAGAATACCCACCATCCAGGGTGGGAGGTGGTCACGGTGGTTTTGCTCGTCTGGCTTCGCCCAGCTTAGAGCATCTCTAGCAAACCCCGCAAAATCTCAATTCGATAAGTGCTTTGTAGTTCGTGGAAAAATGAATCCGTAAAAAAAGATATTCGACGAATATGCTCTTTTACGGGTTAGCTACGCGGGGTCTGCTCGGGCACCGCTGTGTCGACCCGCAAGAGCATCTCTAGCAAACCCTGCAAAATCTCAAACCGATAAGTGTTTTGTAATTCGTGGAAAAGTGCATATGCAGGCCGGCGCGGGCAAGGTCAGACTCAGACCCCGCAAAATGGATCCGTAAAAAAGATATTCGGCGAATATGCTCTTTTACGGGTCAGCTACGCGAGGTCTGCTCGGGCATCGCCGCGTCGACCCGCAAACTGAATACACCCAATTCACGAATTTGACATCGATTTCGACAAATAAGTTCAAATTCAAACAATAGAACACAGTTCACGCGCAAATAAAATCTTAAGTTTTTAGGACAAATGCAAAAGAGGGTCTTGCAAAAGTGACGATTTTGGGGAACGTAGTAATTTCAAAAAATTTCTACGCACACGCAAGATCATGGTGATGCATAGCAACGAGAGGGGGGAGTGTTGTCCACGTACCCTCGTAGACCGAAAGTGGAAGCGTTAGCACAACGCGGTTGATGTAGTCGTACGTCTTCACGATCCGACCGATCAAGTACCGAATGCACGACACCTCCGAGTTCTGCACACGTTCAACTCGATGACGTCCCTCGAACTCCGATCCAGCCGAGTGTTGAGGGAGAGTTTCATCAGCACGACAGCGTGGTGACGATGATAATGTTCTACCGACGCAGGGCTTCGCCTAAGCACCGCTACGATATGATCGAGGTGGATTATGGTGGAGGGGGGCACCGCACACGACTAAGAGATCAAGAGATCAATTGTTGTGTCTATGGGGTGCCCCCTGGCCACGTATATAAAGGAGTGGAGAAGGGGAGGGGCCGGCCCTCTCTATGGCGCGCCCTAGGGGAGTCCTACTCCCACCGGGAGTAGGATTCCCCCTTTCCTAATAGAACTAGGAGCCCTTCCAAGTAGTAGGAGTAGGAGAGAAGGAAAGGGAAAAGAGAAGAGAAGGAAGGAGGGGGGCAGCCCTTCCCCCTCGTCCAATTCGGACTAGGCCTTGGGGGGGGGAGGCGGCCTGCCTCTCTCTCTCTCTCTCTCTCTCTCTCTCTCTCTCCCCCCTAAAGCCCAATAAGGCTCATACACTCTCCCCGATACTCCGATAAATACCCGAATCACTCGGAACCTTTCCGATGTCCGAATATAGTCGTCCAATATATAGACCTTTACGTCTCGACCATTGCGAGACTCCTCGTCATGTCCCCGATCTCATCCAGGACTTTGAACCACCTTCGGTACATCAAAACACATAAACTCATAATATAACCGTCATCGAACTTTAAGCGTGCGGACCCTACGAGTTTGAGAACTATGTA